ATAACAAAATAATTTTAATATTATTTTTTTATTATTACATAAGCGTTGAAATATTTTCTAACACTAGATTTTAATAACATTATTCAATGTACCTATACGATCTAATACATATACCTTCTATTTTATTCGCAGCTACCTTACCCAATTTACTCATTTATTACCGTTATATTAACTACTACTTTCTCGTACTCGCCCTACCATATTATTCACATTTTGTTTTATAAATTTTCTTTATTTTACTTTTTTGTTTTCTATCTATAATTTTTATATTTTTATCTTTTTATCTCACTTTCTATTCCTTATTTTTGTATTTTATTTATTTATTCTATTTTTCTTCTGCTTCTTGTTATATATTTTGATTAACTTTTAATACCAACTCAGTGAAGGTTCTGTCTTAACTTCTGTGAATAAAACAAAGAAACAAAAAAACTTTTGACATTCTGTTTTTTTTTCATTAAAGACAGCTTTGTTTATTGAAAATTTATGTATGAAGGTTTTAAAATTATTACAGAAAATGCCAAGATCTATCTATATATGTCTATGTACCTACATATAGAATAGAAAAAGTCTTAAATTGTTCTAAAAATTTAAATGCAATATAAATGAACATACACACATAATTATAATGTACATACAATATGTATAGATATACAATGAGAGTATAATATTATTATTGGAGCTCTGGCTTAGTTATTTATAGGTATACTATTATATGGGGTACATGTGTACGAGAGTGTAGCCATAATGGTTGGTGGCTCGTCGTCTCTTGGTAGATAAATAAATTTTGTTAATTTTTCTTCATCTATAAGTTTTTTTTTTTTCGTTTTTTGTTTATTTTATCTGTTTTCTTTATTTTCTTATTTTTTTTTCGAAAAATTTATTATCAACTTTTTCCTTATGAGTTCATCTGTTTTTTTTTTTATTATTATATTTTATTTTTAGATTTTTATTGTGTATCTATTATCTAACACGTAAATGTATTATGGGTACAGAAAACATCTTATGTATAAGTGAAAAATAAAATTATAAATTTTGATGGAATTCATTTTGGGTTCTGTCAGATGAGAGTATAGCCACCCATGTGCCTAGTATGTTGCTGATATAAGTCATAGATTTTAGAATTGATTCATATTTTATTGGCAAACAGCTACTGTACCATAATGCTGTTCTATTCATATACTTCCTTTAATGACGACTTTCTTTATGGAGTGCTCAGCACGTTAATCTATTCAACATTTTGACAAAGATGAGTTGTGTTCAATAGAGGTGTAAAAAATTCTTTCATATTTTCAATATACTTTCTCTCAGTTTACTCCTCTTTTTACTCTATTTTGACATAATTTCGTTTCTGCCCTTTAAAAATTAAATATTTCAGTATTTCAATCGCAATTTACTCAAAATATTATTTTTCCAAGTAGGCCACTAATGTAATGAGCGCCTCATATATCTAATATTTTGTTAATATTTATGTGTTCTTTGAATATTTTTTATTTTCCTGTTTCAGAACTCTAAACAATTCTCAGAAAATTTAAAAATGAATGTTGCGTGTGCCGCCAATTCTAAATCCGGTTATTTTGATCTTGATGTTGGAAAGGGTGCGAATTTGAATTAAACGCAACTATTGGTTAGATATCAGTAATATTGTGTATACTCAGCTATTATTTATTTTTGTTTTAAATTTTACGGCAGTTAATCCAAAATAATATTTTTTGTGTATCTCATCCTAATAAACATTAATCTTACTATTTAATCCTCACTAATTCCGCACCATTTCCTTTTCCATCCTCATCAAATGTTAACAATTTTACTAGACAATCTGATACCTGCATTTCTGTGAATCTAAATGACGATTGTTTTTTGGCTCTTTAAGTGCGATATGAATTTATATTGAGCATATAATTTATATTTATATTGAGCATATGAGCAATTCGTCTGATTTATATAAAAAATGGCCCCATGAAATGAAAATAATAAATTTGTATTCCTTCATGTGAATTCTTATAGTAGTCAAGTACAATTTTTTCTTTAAATAAATTTCAAATTTCAATACTAATATGTCGTTCACTGTATAAAAATAACATTTTCTTAGTATTATTCTGTAATGTTATCAAGTCTTTTATTAATATTTCTTCTCTAGCTATCTATGTAGCTTTGTTTTTCATTAAAACAAAACAAAAACAAAAGAAATTATTAAAGTCAAAAAAATAATAAATTCTATTTTCTTTTTTCTATTTAAAAATCTGATAAAATTATAGCAAAAATTTGTAAAAAAAAAACAAAAACAAAAAATTACTAGGACAAAGAAAAAATGAGAAAAATTGTAAAACGAAAATTAGCTGTTGGCCCCAAAAGGGAGTTAAAATAATGACCAAAAGCTATATAAATATGAAACCAAGATTCTCAATCACTACAGCACCTAACCAAATCTTACAAATACACACACATTTTCGACAATACAACAACAACACTGACAACAAATTATTTTTTCATTTATTTTTCCTTTTGTTTTTCATTTAAAAACGTGTTGTCATACATTTTACTAGTCGTTTGTATGTTGACGTAGTTCATCGCCGGGTATTAAATGTAATCACAGTATCAGAGGATGAAAAAAAAACAAGAAACAAAAAAAAATTTAATGGAAGCTAAATTGTATTTTCGTTCCCAGAATGAGTTGTGAAAATTTATGGTTTATTTTTACTTTGAACTTGGGTATTATAAAATTTTTTCCAAAAACAAAAAACTAAATTTGCTATAGACCAAAGTTGTACCTATGGTATGTATGTAAAATGGAACCAAATGATGAGAACAATAAAGATATACGACTAGGTATTTATGATTTGATTTTGTTTTTTTTTTTCGATTTTTTTCTATGTTGTTTTTGTTAAATTAAAGATAAGAGACATCCGTTATTTTAATAACGGTAATGGTTGTAATGTTGGTCAGATTGGTGATGATTTGGTGTTATTTTGATATTTTTGTTTTAAGAATTTTTTCTAGAATGTTTTTTAATGTAAAATAATAATAATGGAAAATTATATAAAAAAAAATTTTTTTTTTTGAAGTAAGAAAAATGAAAAACAAAATCTAGCTGTTAAACGAGTAAAGAGAATTCTTAACAGTTTTAAAGTTTGTGATCAATAATAATATTATTCAGAAAATCTTGAACTTCTCGGTAGCTAATAATGTAATTAAATCTGTATTTTTTTAGGTACTATTTTATGTTTTGCTCACATATTGTTGAAACGCAAAAATATTATGCTGATTTCAGCCATCTCTACTTTCAAAATGAAAACTAATTCTGTTATATTTTTAATTATTTATAATATTATAATTTAAAATAATATACTGGTATGCACGTCTTAGAAAGCAACACAATAAATTTCTTCAGAAATCATTTGATTTTTTGGATATCCAATTATCTATTTGCTTGGATTCTTAAAATTTAAGTAAAGGTTTCTGCAAAACAGTTCAAAAATTAAAACGATGCTCTTTTAATTTAAGGTATTTAAAGTTTAACTTAGAATAGAATTGATCAAGTTATCTGAGGGTAAAATTTTAGAAATAAAGACCACCCAGCTTAAAATTTAAAATATAATTACAAGTGTTTCAGAAAAATTTTTGAAATTTTTATGTTTCTTCCAAGAATATTAAAATAACTAGCTAGCATTATTTGATATAAAATTATAAAAAAATACAAAATTTAATATTTATATTAAATTATTACCAAGGTGATATTTTAAAAGAAATTACAAAGATATCTTTGGGGTTTTTGCTCGTGTATTCAAAATTATAATAAATGACGTAATTAAATGAAGATAAGATCAAAAGGTTTGAAATTAAAAATAAATAATTTAAATTTTTTCCTTTGAATATGATTTTTTTTTAAATCCCTTATAAAAATACCATATTATGTAAAAGGAAAATTCTTAAAGGAACACGTGTTGCAAATTTCTTATGTTTCATAAATAAGAAAATCTTGTTAAAGAATTTTAGTTATCAGAATTTTCGTTTAAACACCAACATTAAATGAAAAAAAATTTCTCTTCTAATTTTTGGTTATTACAATATTATTATAAGTATGGAAGAGATAAAATTAGCTTTTAAAATTTTAGGCCAAAATAAATTGCAAAGTTCATTTAATGTTGTAGGCAAGTTTTGTAATTTAGGTGTGTAAAATGTAAGGCTGCTCTTATTTTGCCAGTATCCTAATCTAAAATGAATTATCATAAATGTTTATCAATTTACGAATAATAATTACTTATAATGTTGCCGCAAGTAACATAAAATTGTGCTACAGAGTATTTATATTTTAAATTTTAATTAAACTTAGTCATTATTAGGCTAATTATGAAAGCAGAAAATTAAAAATTTTATAGTATAATTTTTATTACAGAAAGAAATTATGAAAGTAGCCATTTTAATCCACTTAATGATTGAAATTAACCACGACACAAAACTGAATTTGAAATTTAATAATATTCCCACTCCCAGTCTTTCAAAATCGTGTTATTTTAATGGAAAATAAATATTTGAGCACAAATTATGTGGTGAAGTTTGCTGTTCACAATTTTTAATTTGTATACCAATTTCAATTTCATATTAAAAGTAAAATATTGAATTGTGTTATACGCAATTAGATGATACATCCGGTATGAGAGCATGAGAACTCAACATAATTTAACGAAAGGGTAAAATATGAGAATTCTCTTGCTATCTATAACGGTGTAACACCCTATTAACCACATAGCAGCATTTCTCTCAATATGCTTTAAATACCAAAATTATCAAGGAATAAAAAATAAAATTATAGTCTTTTAATAATTCGCTGCTAACTAAGGATACCTTCATAACACACAATCAGGGAATATTTCCCTCATAAATAAAAATTTAACCAGTCTCAAGAAATTTAGAAAAATTTATAATTTCCATTTCAGTCTCTTTGATTTAAGATTAAAAACCAAAATATTTGAATATAAAAAAATAAATAAATAAATACTTACATTTTCTTGCTTCGTTCACAAATCTAGAATCCTGAAACCATTATAATTGGTTTTTTCCCTGAAAACAAAATAAAATTAATGAAATTAATTTAATTTGAAACAAATTAATTACATTCTAGATACTTTGTTATTTTTTTCTTTTATATTTTTAACTTGAATAAATCTCTCAAATTTATTTTATAAAGGATACAACAACACTGTTATACATAGCACTTAATTCAGAATGAACGAAACAACAACAAAAGTATATTGACAATAGGGAGGGGAAGAAAACGAAAAAAACTTGATTCGTAAATTAATTTTTAAAGTACATGGGATTAAAAATTTAACTTAAAGTACTCATACTCTTTCTGTGTGTCATTGTGTACATTAACACGAATCCTTCCATATCAAAAATACATTTTAGCTTTAAGGCGAGGATTTACTATATGCCGTCATCGTCCATGAGAAAGAAGAGAAGCAAAAGAAGAAGAAAGAACAATCCACTTCTGCTTTTTGTTTTTACATTTTTTTTTCTCATTCTCTTTCATTATTCATCTCGCATTTAATTTTCTCTTTTCGGTTGATTAAACTTTATTCTCTTTCCTGTTCTGTTCTGTTCTGTTTATTTTTTTTCCTTTTTGTTATTGTAGACTCAATGGTGCCATTTTTAAAGATTTATCTTAGTTTTTAAGGGTTTCTTTTACAAACAGAAATATTTTTGCAATTTAAGGCAAAGAATTCAGTTCAAAACAAAAATATTACAGGAAAATAGCTACCCTCCTGATAGAAGATGATTACAAGTTTTTCAAAACCACAGAATTCATGTATGAAGTTTGCCATTGAAAATTTAAAATAATTAAAAATTTTAATAAAACAACTTGTAATTAATTATTCAACATAGGAAACTATATTACTCACAGAAAACTGCAAAACTTCAAAAGAAAAGCTACATCACATTTTTTGGAAAGGGGTTACTAAGTTAGGAAACAGCAATCTTGATAAGCTTGATACGAAAATCATAAAAATTTGAAAAGTCCTGCTTTCTTCCAAGTAGCTGCAACACAACTTGTAGGTTTAACAAATGCTTTTGTTCCCTAAATCTTAGAATACATCTCAAAATTTTGAATTACAAAATTCTATTTAATATTCTAGAAATGCACTAGTTCTTGATTTTTTCAATTTTTTTTCATTTCTTAGTATTTAAAAACGAACTGTTCCCGGTTAGTTTTCGCAGCACTAAGGACCATAAATGACATCCAATTCAAAACGAAATTGTATTAAGATTTTTAGTCAAACTGATCCCGTTAATATCCTGCTGGTATTCTATTGGTATCCTACTCTATCTCATTTTATATTTCATTCTTACTTTTAATGAAACTTATTTTATCTCTTCTCATTTTCATTATTATCATGGGTCTTGGAAAAACTCAATGTTTTAGAGTAAAATAAGAACCAAAAAAAAAAAAGGAAAAAAATAATGTTGAATATTGACGAAATAATAGAAAAAAAAATAAATGGAGAGATTGAAAACGGGAAATAGGGGTAGAACAATGAAGTGAAAATATAGGAAAGATGTTTTAAAAATGAAAAAAAAAAAACAAAACAAAAAGAAAACAGAATAAGAAAAGAGACAAAGAAAGGAAAAGTTTTTAATTTGCTTTGTTTTCTAAGGGATTTGGTATTTAAAAGGCAATAAAACGGAAACAAAAGTAATAAAGATTATTAGCTTCTTTCTCCTTAAAACAAAAAAAAATCAAAAAAAAAAAGGAATTAAGAATGAGTGCATCATTTACATTGTTTTAGGTGCCTCTGAAACCTGACAGCCTGCTAATAACATATTTTAGAGCATTGTAGAGATTACACAGTTTGGAGTATTGTTAATCTTGTTGTATGCACTAATATTTTCCATATCTCAATTGGACCTCTAGACGTCTTCCAACAAATTTCCAATTGAATAATTTCCATTGAATCTTTTAAGCGTTCTTTTATAAATAACCATAATACAAGAAAGAGAAATTTTTTTTCAAAATAAAAAACCAAATTTCAAGTATTCAGAAACTAAAATCATAAGGCTTCTAAAAATGCATATAACAATTATTGCCTCCAGTAAAAAATATTTCGTTAATTATATTATTAGGAGTACGAATGAATGACCTTATTTATTCTGTACAACGCAGTACCAATAACCAAAACAGATCTCCAATTCGCAAGCCTCATCACTTTTCATCTTTAATAATCACTTGTCCATCAATTTTTCATCACTCTGTTTGGACTAACCATTTCTTTTTTTTTTTCAAAAATGATAAGAAAAAACAAAAAAAAAATATGTACATCAGTTGTTAATCTAATTTCGAAAGAGTATGAGCAGGATTATATTTTTGTTTTTCTACAAAAATATTGTTAAGTAAAAAAAGAAAACATATAGATAGAGAAGAATGGGACACGCAAAACAAAAAGATGCGAAAATTAGTTTTATCATCCTTCAAAACAACAAAAACAAAAAAAAGGAAATAGAGAATATATACTCTTGTATAACAGGAAAAGCAACATTGATAACAACAAAAATAAAAAAGAATGAAAAAGAAAAGCAAAGAGAAACAAAAAAAAATATTAAAAACGGAAAATAAAAGAAAACAGTTATTTAAACTTGTTTAGGTAGGTACTTATCTTTCTTTATTTTTTACGAAATCGTCCTAGAGGGGACATAACAAAGTAACTGTTATATCCTCTTCAAAAAAATAAAAACAAGAAGCAAAATGAAAAAAAATATAAAACTAATTTTTGAAGGAAAATGTCAAAATTGGGGAAAATTTTTGTTTTGATAAGTTTTTAAAGAAAGAAATAAATTCTATGAGTTTTTTAAAAAAATAACATAAAAAACAAAAAAAAAATGCAAAAAAAGGACACTCCTGTGTGTACTGTGGGAGTCCATTAAAACTGAACAAAAGACAAAGAAAAAAAACAATAATAAAAAGGACAAATTACCTGAAATTAAGAAAGGAAAAGATAACAAGTGAGAGGAGGACATGGAGAGGAGGAGAGAGAGAAAAAAAACAACAGGATTACAAGATGAGTTTTCTGTTGTTGATATTTTTTGCTTTTTTATTCATAATTTTTTTCTTGTTTTAAATTTTACTTAATTTAAACATAAGTTTAACACTATATTAATTTAATTTATGTGAAATATTTTTTAATCACAAATAAATTTTTGTATTTTAATTAATTAAAATATCTAAAGTTTTGAGTGTACTTGTGATTCATTCTTCATAGAAAATGTAAACGAAGAGTGTAGTTTTATGATTTGATTTGTGGAACCCAAGCCTGCATCTATAAAAAATTAAAACATTGATTTGAAAAAATTGCAGATTTAAATTAGTAAATGTATTTTAAGTGCAGTGAAATGTGTGAAATGCGATTAATATTGTGATACAATGAAAAACTGGCCAATATTTCAATAATAGATCTTGTGCAATAAAAACTATCCAATTTACAAATGCAAATTTGTTGAATTTTTGTGACTTCAAGGAAAATTGTGATTCGTGAAAATAATATTACATATAATAAATTAATCGATTTCAAGTAATATTCTAATGCTATAAACTTTTTTTAAAACTAATATTAAATTTTCTTAAAAAATCAAAATGTTGTCTTTTTATCAACTTAATTAAAAATTTATCGTCCAGACATGGATCTGTTCTGCTGTAATTCCTGAAATCGACTGAAAATATATTATGAAGTAATGGAGGTTTTGATTAATTGCTGATAACATTTTCAACTGTGCTTTAAAAAGCAGTTTACTGTTGATAATTATTGCTAAATCCTACAACTGTGTGTCGCTTGATCATAATATTAAATTTGTCAATAATTGAACGATTTGGAATGGTTTATTTTAAATGCAATTTATTCTAAAATAAATCCTATTAGATTACAAATTACTAAAATATATATTATTTAAAATTATTCGTATATCCAAAGAATTTCTGAAATACAAGATATTGAGGTTTTTAAGAAAAAAATATCTAAACTTGTACTTCGATTGGGACTATTATTCAAAGGGAAATTTTAAATATTACTTATGCTGTTCAACTTATCTAATGTGTAAATGTAGAAATTAAAATATTTCTTTTATTTAAAACCCCATTATTGTACATTACTATATTAGTATATTAACTAAGTTACTAAATAGCGTTAAATAAGAATAACGTAAATTAATATTATTATTAAAATAAAGCAGAGTTACTCTTTATTCTTTTACCAATTTCCAATTTCCGTTCAAACGCCATTAATATGGATTCAATAGAAAATAAATTGAATTAAAATATTATTTTTTTTTTTATAAAATTCGGAAATGCCATCAGAATATCACCCCAATCACCTGTAATCAACTGTATCAAAGCAATGAGAATAATATGTATATTTTAGTACTCCGCATTACGGTCCTGTACCATTATCTACTACTTTTACCTACAATTTTATATTATGGCAATATTTTTTCTCAAATCATTATTGTTCCTGTGATAGGTAGGTATATTTAAAAAATATTTTATTGAATTTCATTTTATTTCCCATTTTACTATGGTGAGAAGAAACATAAAGTAACCTGTCATTTATACTACTTATATAAATAAAATTAAGTTTGATGTCTAAAATATATCTACAAAAAAAAAAAGCAAAAATTTATTTTTGATTGATTACATAATTTATTTCTTAGAAAATCTAAAAGAACTCCAAAAAATTTTTTCCAAACAAAAAAAAAAAATTTCGATATGAAAAATTCTGAGAAAATTTTTATACAAAACTTTCCAAAAATTTCATATCATTGAAGAAAAATATTATTATAGAAATATATATAGAGCCCGACGATATTCGACACGATAAATACGTAAATATTATACATTATATACCAACATATTATAAATTTACATACACATACAAAAATTACATGTAATATAATATGGAGACAATGTTTCAAATATTTTGAAAGGGAAAAAAAAAATTAAATATTCATAAGGACATCAACAAATAGGACATCATCAATTTTTTTTTATTTTGTTTTATTTTTTTTTTTAAGGATAG